TTCACAAGTTGAATTCATCACATTAACAGATTAAAGGAGAAAACCATATGAACATCTTTGTAGATACAGAGAAATTACTTTGACTTGTGAATAATGAGTATGTGGAATACTGGCACAAGAATTCAATTCTTCATATTTCTTGAAGAGCACAATTTTCTCTGCGGTGTGCTTTTTTTTCACTGGATTATGTGGCAAATGAAGTATGTGTCCTTATTATGTTTCTTATTTTAAAATAGCATAGCTAAAATGAACTATAGCATAGTTACAATGAACTATAAATGTTGAGTACTCTTTAAACCATGTCTTAATACCAAAGTAATTATCAGCTTATCACAAAGAGTAAGTTATGATTATGCTGTAAAAGCAAATTCCTGGTGCAGAAGCTTCTCTTACTATTAACTCCAATCCAAATCCTTTTTAGAATGAAGTGGTTGTGTATATTAAAACATATACATTGACTATCATGTGATCATAATAGTTTTAACTGTATTGTCTCCTATACCATACATTTTAAATAGGGACAAAAATTGGTATTTGGTAGACAAAAGAATAACCTTGGATATTAGAGTGGCTTGTGATCCTCATAAGCTCAACCCTACCAGACAAAATCTTATACTTACTATTTAATTTATCATATTAGAAATAAGAAATTTAAATTTATAGATTAAAATAATTTTTTTAACTTTTAGGTTCAGGGGTACATGTGCAAGTTTGTTATATAGGTAAACTCATGTCACAGGGATTTGATACACACTATATTTCTTCACTCAGGTAATAAGCCTAGGACCCAATAGTTATTTCTCTGCTCCTCTCCCTCTTCCCACCCTTCATCTTCTGATAGGCCCCAGTGTCTATTGCTCCCTTCTTGTGTCCATGTATTCTCATCATTTAGCCTCCACTTATAAGTGAGTACAGGCAGTATTTGGTTTTCTGTTCCTACATTAGCTTGCTAAGGATAATGGCCTCCAGCCCCAGCCATGTTCCTGTAAAGGCCATGATCTCATTCTGTTTTATGGCTGCATAGTATTTCATAGTGTATGTGTACAACATTTTCTTTATCCAGTCTACCACTGTTGGGCATTTAGGTTGATTCCATGTCTTTGCTATTGTGAATAGTGCTGTAAAGAACATACACGTGCATGTGTCTTTATGATAAAATGATTTATATTCCTTTGGGTATATACCCAGTAATGGGATTGCTGGGTCGAATGATATTTCTGTTTTTAGGTCTAAGGAATCACCACACAGTTTTCCACAGTGGTTGAACAAATTTACACTCCCATCAACAACAGTGTATAAGCATTCCTTTTTCTCTGCAGTCCCACCAGCATCTGTTATTTTTGGACTTTTGAATAATTGCCATTCTGCCAGGTGTGAGATGGTATCTCATTGTGGTTTTTATTTGCATTTCTCTAGTGATCAGTGATAGTAAGCTTTTTTGCTGTTTCTTGGCCTCATGTATGTCTTTTGAAGAATGCCTGTTCTTCTCCTTCGCCTACTTTTTAAATGGGTTGTTTTTTCCTTGTAAATTAGTTTAAGTGCCTTATAGATGCTGGATATTAGACCTTTGTCAGGTGCGTTTGTAAAAATTTGCTCTCATTCTGTAGGTTGTCTCTTTACTCTAGTTTCTTTTGCTGTGCAGAAGCGCTTTAGTTTATTTTGATCCCAGTTATCAGTTTTTGCTTTCGTTGCCGTTACTTTTGGCATCTTCATCATGAAATCATTGCCCATTCCTATATCCAGAATGGTATTGCATATGTTGTCTTCCAGGGTTTTTATAGTTTTGGGTTTTCCATTTAAGTCTTTAACCTCTCTTGAGTTTATTTTTATGTATGGTATAAGTAAGGGGTCCACTTCAATCTTCTTCCTGTAGCAAGCCAGTTATCCAAGCACCACTTATTGAATAGGGAATATTTTCCCCATTGTTTGTTCTTGTCAGCTTTGTTGAAAATCAGATGGTTGTAGATGTGCAGCCTTATTTTGGGGCTCTTTATTCTGCTCCATTGGTCTCTGTGTCTACTTTTGTGCTAGTGTCATGCTGTTTTGGTTGCTATCACCCTGTAGTATAGTTTGAAGTCAGGTAACATGATGCCTCCAGCTTTGTTCTTATTGCTTAGCATTTCCTTGGCTATTCAGGCTTTTTTGGTTACAGCGATAAACAATATTACATATATGCCATAAAAATGTACAATATTTGTGTATCAGTAAAAAACATGTTTTTAAATCAAATCAGATATGATAGAAAGTTAACCAAGACCAATTAGAAATTATTTAAAAACCTATTTCAATGTAGCTCTACAATTATTTTAAAATACCAGTTATTTTCAGCTGGGCACAGTGGCTCATACCTGTAATCCCAGCACTGTGGGAGGTTGAGGCAGGTGAATTGCCTGAAGTTAGGAGTTTGAGACCCCGTCTCTACTAAATATACAAAAAAAATTAGCCAGACATGGTCTCATACGCCTATAATCCCAGCTACTCGAGAGGCTGAGGCAGGGAGGGAGAGGTTGCAGTGAGCCAAGATCGCGCCACTGCACTCCAGCCTGGGTGACAGGGTGAAACTCCATCTCAATAAAAATAAATAAGAATAAAATAAAGTATCACTTATTTCGTGTTTATCTCATCTTTTTAAATTTCATATTTTGAACCTACATAAGTAAACATAATTTCCAAATAAACTTAATACATAAAAAATAGGATAGTTCTCAATTAAAGAGATTTGACTTTAAATGACCATACTAATACCCAAGTAAACACAACCTTGCCATCAGAATAAGCAGCATGACCTAGAGTATAATATTTAACATTACTCGATTGTTATAATGAATGAAGCAGAATTTGCTTCACAGAACTTTTATCACCAGAGTTGCTAGCAAGCACCAGAATTACATTTTTTTCTGCCTAGTTTATTATGCTATCCCTGCTACCAACACGAATAATCACAGAAACACTTAAAACTGGAAGTAGATATGTAAAAATCAAAAGATTAGTAGGTTATCAGTTCTCAGAATATTGAATTTTGTTTTTTAAATGACTGAGTTTATATAATGGTCAACCAACAAAAGCAAGTTGCTATTGAGCAGGTTTATTCTGAAGCTTTAATTAGCATATAAATATACAAAGAAAACATTGTATTTCATGAGATGTAATATTTCTCAGAAATGTCATATTTCATTTAGTAATAAGTAGACTATAGTTTACTTTCAAGATTTACTTTTTATGTACCAAGCAATCCCCATGCTTTGAATTCTATGGAAATTAAAGCTAAATTTCCTTAAAGAAATATCATTATGTCTGTCCAGTTCATTCAATGCCAAAATGAAGTAAGATTCTTCTTAGAACTTTGCTCAAAGAATTAAAGACTTAAACATAAGACCTAACACCATAAAAACCCTAGAAGAAAATCTAGGCAAAACCATTCAGGACATAGGCATAGGCAAGGACTTCATGACCAAAACACCAAAAGCATTGACAACAAAAGCCAAAATAGACAAATGGGACCTAATTAAACTCCACAGCTTCTGCACAGCAAAAGAAACAGTGATTAGAGTGAATCGGCAACCAACAGAATGGGAAAAAATTTTTGCAGATTACCCATCTGACAAAGGGCTGATATCCAGAATTTCCAAAAACTAAAACAGATTTACAGGAAAAAAACAAACAAGCCCATTCAAAAGTGGGCAAAGGATATGAACAGATACTTTACAAAAGAAGACATATATGAGGCCAACAAACACATGAAAAAATGCTCATCATCACTGGTCATCAGAGAAATGCAAATCAAAACTACATTGAGATACCATCTCATGCCAGTTAGAATGGCGATCATCAAAAAATCTAGAGACAACAGATGCTGGAGAGGATGTGGAGAAATAGGAACACTTTTATACTGTTGGTGGGAGTGTAAATTAGTTCAACCGTTGTGGAAGACAGTGTAGCAATTCCTCAAGGACCTAGAAATAGAAATTCCATTTGACCCAGCAATCCCATTACTGGGTATATATCCAAAGGATTATAAATCGTTCTACTATAAGGACACATGCACACGAATGTTCATTACAGCACTGTTTACAATAGCAAAGACCTGGAACTAACCCAAATACCCATCGATGATAGACTGGATAGGGAAAATGCGGCACATATACACCATGGAATATTATGCAGCCATCAAAATCGATGAGTTGTGTACTTTGTAGGGACATGGATGAACCTGGAAACCATCATTCTCAGCAAACTGACACAAGAGTAGAAGATCAAACACCACATGTTCTCACTCATAGGCGGGTATTGAACAATGAGAACACATGGACACAGGGAGGGGAGCACTACACACTGGGGTCTATTGGGGGGAAATAGGGGAGGGACAGTGGGGGGTGGGGAGTTGGGGAGAGACAGCAAGGGGAGAGATGCCAGATGTAGGTGATAGGGAGGAAGGCAGCAAATCACACTGCCATGTGTGTACCTATGCAACAATCTTGCGTGCTCTTCACATGTAGCCCAGAACCTAAAATGCAATAAAATAAATGGAATAATAAAAAAAAAGAACTAAACTAAATGAAATTCTCAAAGTATAAGGTTAAGTTGGTGATCAGAAGTTATAAAAGCAGTTGTAAAAATAAAACATGAATAAAGTTTAAATTTAGAAAATGTTCTCCTTAAAATAATTGCATTTGATCCTCACAAAGTTTTGAAGAAATTAGATGTTATAGATGAGAAATCCAAGACCAAAAGAGATAAATAACTCGCCCCAGTGAAGTGGCAGACCTAGGTAAATATCTTGACTTCGTATCCTGTGTTCTTTGCTATCTTGCCTTTAATGCTCTGAACTAGAAGGAGCTTCTAATAGTTGTTTGTCATTGAAAAAACTGTCAGGAATACAACATAACTCCACTCAGTGAAATCAAGATATGCTTTAGTGTACTTGTGTTCATATTGCAGCTTCTTTTCTGAACTCATGCTTGCATTTAATGGGCTTTAAAATTTGTTCATACATCTTCTAGGTTTCCACAGACATGCAGCTCCAGTTACAAGAAGGCAGTTCCCACATGGTGCACACAGGATGGATTACCTGCACTTTGAGGATGATAGCCGTGGATGGTGGTTTGACATGGATATGGTGATCATATATATTTATTCAGTGAACTGGGTCATTGGATTCATTGTTTTCTGCTTTCTTTGCTATTTTTTCTTTCCGTTTTAGGAATTTTCATACATTACTACAGTTGGCCAACCATAAACAATGTAAATAACAATTGCTTAAACATTTTAAAAATGTGCTTTGAAGTATTTTTAATGTTGCATTATACTGTTGGTGTTTATAGAAACTGTTGGTGTTTATAGAAAGCCTGAGAATAATTAATTTATTAATGTTTTTCATGTAACAAACGAAACTTTATTCAAGAGCTAACCTACCCAGCACTTAACAACAATGCACTATTAATTTCACAGTTGATCTTGGGTTAGGATTTGGGGGTCTGATTTTATAATATCACTTTAATACTTATTTTAATTATAAAAAACTGAAGTTTTCTCTCCAGTTAAAAATAGTAAAGATATAAAAAGAAATGACAATCTAGGGAGGTATTATCTTTACTGATAGAATATTTAGTCAATCACTTATTCTCAGGCAAATTATATGTATTAAAGATAAACCATATTCTCTGGGAACTAATCTAGCAGGGTATATTCAGTTTTGGTTTCTAATTATCGCTACTTATATCCCTTTCTATTACCAAGAAAACTGACTATTCTTTTTGTATAGTTCTAATTAGTGCAACATTTTAAATTATTATAAACAGAATAGTAAATACAAATTATGAGACCAATCCCTATGAATAGACACTTTAGAAAGCTGTATTAACATTTTTCTAGATTGAAGGATGAATCACCTGAAGAAATAGAAAATTTACTGACTTTTCGTAGTCTACAAGAGCAATGCATGACCAAATGTAATTTAGTGATTCATTTAGGAGTTTGAGACCAGTAGGAGATTGTCAAATATGTTTTACATGTGCAATAAAGGGTGGCTTTTAAATTCTTTTTCTATCGTTAATTAAGTTTTTTAATGTCTGGAATAAAGAATTGTTAAAATAGGCTTATGGATTTATAGAAAGAAAATTTGACATTTTTAATTATAGTAATCCTTAATTTTTCATTATTAAAATTTAAAAATAAGATCTGAATCACTACGATGTGAAATAGAATTGGGGCAGGTAGCCTAATTTTAAAAATGAAAAACTGGAAGAGAGACTTAAGCTTATTTAGTCAGTTATTCTAGTGGTCTTTGTGAAACCTGGGACAACAGTTTTTATTATGAACTACTAATCTAATATTCTACACTATGATGTCATATATCTGGTAATTCAATAAGCATACTTTTATATAAAATATGTTAATCTTTCATGGTACTATAAATACTACCACTATCCAAAAACATTAGGATCAACTGGGCTTTAACAGTTCCAATCTATGAAAGCCAAAATTTAGCCTAATTGCTACTAACTATATTTCAATAAAAGCACTTGACTGATGGTATGTGATGTTCCAAGAAATGTAGAAGAATGGGTACTGATTTTTATTCTAATGCTGTCCTTATTATTGTGTTTAAAATTACGTCTATTAAAGACAATAGTATATATTAGACATCAAATCCAGAAAGCAGAAAACTAAATACAATTTAGAAACACAGATAAATTTATACTCAAATGGATACTTGTAATTACTGATTTACTGCTCAAAGTAAATAAACATAAGGGAAAATATCATCGCTTTTAAAATATATAACAAGATTGAAAAGTTAACAACACACATATGTGAGGAGTTGCAAAATTTTAAGAACTTTCAAATGAATTGCAGCCATTTCCTAGGCAACTTCTGGCTTATACACTCTAGCAATGAATATTGATTCATTTCTAAATTACAATAAAAGTTTATTTTAATTATACATAAACTAAATAAGTGTTATTATAGACGCAGATCTCTCATAGAAACAAAGTTAATTCCCAATATATATTTGTTAGTCAGGTCAGTGATTTATAGATCTCAATCTATTAAATATTTATGATAACCTTAAATATGAACCCTTCAATGAAGAAAGCATAATCTGGAAAAGCATTCAAAATGGATTGAGTATATACGTCTTGACTAATAACCTGATCTGAAAATTAAAGAATATTAAAAGTAGAAGTAAATTCATAAAATTATAAATTAATTTTACCTTAAAATATTATTAAATTTTATACAAATGGAGATTAAAACTGCTATATATTAAGAAGTATAGCATTTCCTAGATCTGCCAGCTTATAAGAAGCCAGATAAAATCTGAGATGGAAAGAAACCGGTTTCTTCTGGTATGTAGTACACAGTAGCTGTTCAAAATAAAATAGATGGATGAGCTTTAAAGTAAAACAAAAAATTAAATGCTCTTCTTTAGCATCTCTCACAGTAAAAACTCATTGTCCAATACAAAGCCAAAGAAAGGAAAAGAAGAAAAATGTTAAAGTTAATGAAGTATAGTACTTTTCCCAAGTAATATTATTTAATGAGCTTAATTTTATGATTTATCATTATCAATAATTTCTATTTCTACCAAGATTAATTATGGTAAAGGTTACTTTTAAACATGTTCACACGTTTTTTTAAAAAATACCCTAATTGAGGTACATTTCTGAATAGTTTCAGCAGATTGTTTATTTTTTAATTTTAAAAAAGCTAATTCACAAACTCAGACCCATTTCTTTATACTTAGCATAAGCTAGGGGAATTTAAATTAGACCGAATTGAAAAAGAATCAGAATTCATATTTTATAAAGCTTCTACCACTGTGAATCACCATAATCCAAAATGGGAAAAAAAACATTTCTGTATCTGCCATATTATTAATGCCACTAGTATTACATGCTAAATATAAAAGCAGTGCCGCCATCGGTTTCACTTCTGCCTTGGAATCTTGTTCCTAAGATAGCTCTATGGCATAACAAAATTCCAGTTAATAAAATTTTCATTTAAATATCTTTTGTATGGCTAAATGAATACACAGATTCGTAAACATCTAATTTTTATATGGATTTCTCAAAGAATGCCTTATAGAAGAGCATTCTCTGATTAAATACAATTAGAGTTGAAGTCTTTGATTCTTAACAGAATTCTGTAGTTGAAGCCAGAGAACACTGTCATTTAGGAAAGTGTTCCTAAAGGTTTGCATGCTTTAACATGCTCAACTCTTACTTGTTCAAGTGTTTCTGATTGTCAGTCAATTTTCAAAGAACATTAAAGTTCCACCAATGTATACTTTTTTCCCAGAATGCATTTATTTTCCTATGCTTTTTCTTGAAGATAACACCT